AGACTTAGGACATAAACTCCCACAGCACACTTATTACCGCTGTCACGTATAGCGTTACAGCACCTGAACAGTTAATCCATTGTAATGCCATAAATTTATAACGTTATAATGTGTTAGATGTTATAGCAGTATAATACATTAACCCGTAATGCGTTACAGATAATGCGGTATACAGTTATAATGCGATAGGAATTTAGTAACGCCTTGTAATGGTGTACACATATTAACGCGTTAGTCGAATTTATAGTGTTTTAACATTATAAAATATGAGAAATTCGTTGATAAAAATGCATTATAACATTATAATTTCAATTTTTTGGCAGTTTTGTTCCACGTAATGCGTATCGCTAATGTGTCACAATGCCTTAAAGACATGTTTTTTCTAAAGCTATCGCATTGTAACACAATAGAAAACCTAACACATTACAAGGCATTATAATATGCCTAACGCATTATGATGCAATAAATAGAAAAAAGAGATCCTATGGGTATTTACGTTTATCAACATTTTCTCAACAAACGATATTAGTATTATACTATAATGAAAAAACCATCATTCGACTGATTGATTTGAGGATAAAAGTAGAGGGTTTACACAAATTTCTCAGCGGGGATACTAATGATGAATCAAATCACAGATTTTGTCGAGTAGAATTCCCATCCATAATGATTGTCATACTTCTAGGGTAAACAAACTGTTAATTTTGACACGATACAGCCGGTTTTGGTTATTTATAGACTGTTCCGTTTTGACCCGATAAACAATGAACGAGGTATATCCCAACGACGAGAGTTTACAGACAGTCAAATATCTTGGTAAAACAAGAGCACTCTATGCTCATGGAATTGGAGTTGCTATAGTAAGTTGATCTTTAATTCCTTCTGGCTAATTGTAACCATGAAAACATTTATTTCAGGAACCTGTCAAAGTGATATGGTCAAGATCGAAAAAAGGCACACGATACAATCGTTGTGCATTATCGATTCATTCCTTTGGATTATGTATTTATGAAGAAATTGGTAAGCTTAGAGATCATAAGTTGATCGATTGAGTTCCATTTATTACTCTTTTCAGCTAATGGAACCTATAAAAGTGTCTGGCATGATCGAATTGAAGATATCTCTTATTGTGTTGCTGAACCATCGTATCGTAAAGTATTTTCATGGATTTCCCGTGATATTCGAACGGGTGAATTAGACTGTCATGCTGTATTGTGTAAAACAAGTAAAAAGGCAAAATTATTAGCCGAACTAATGGCTCGAGCATTTCATGATTCATACAGACATCGTCAAATACTTGCATCGTCGATATCTCCACTGCCAGTATCCCCTGTCGACACACCCTCACGAAATTCTGCACGATGTTCAGTATGCGATACAATTCGAAATTGGCAAGAACAACGTGAAACACGCCATTCAACGAAAAACTTGGATTATGAACGTGTTTCATCACGACCCGTTTCGCCCATTGCACGAGCAATTGTTCGCAATTATTCAATAAGTAATAAAAGTCTCGACGATAATGATGATGGTGATGAAAATGAATCAATAAAACCTGTTGAATATTTTTCAAATAGAGAATATTGATTTATTCATTATAGAGGCTAGGGAGTATTTGCATTTGTATTATTTTGAAGGTTTTATTCGAAAATAGATATCCTTTTTGTTACTAAAGCAGGTGCACATACAACAAAGCTCTTGACATTTTTTCCTGTGAAAATGTTATTCAACTTTTTTTATACACATGTTATAAGTATACAGAGATTTAGATACAATGAATGAACTATAATGAATAGAAAGGATAATTGAGGTGAACTTATTAGAAGTTGATTTCAAAGGATAGATTTAAAACGAATGTCACCTTGTATGAATGATACAATTTGTAAAGGAATACTTATTGAATAACAAAAGATCTGTTTCTTAGTTTTTTGAATTTATATCGGAATATTATTTGAGATATAATTGTTTTACTTTCTGAAGACAATCCTTCCATTCATATCGATCTTGTTGTCATCTTTCTCTCTTTTCAAGCTTTATATTTCTTATTATTAAATGTATGAACAGCACCCCTTATAGGTTGATTAATAATTAGAAATTCCTCGGCTTCACTGGTAACAAACAATAGCAATATTCAAATAGAATTATGTTGAAGAAGTTCCTATTTAAATTCTTTCCAAAATGATGATATATATCTCTTTGTTTCAAGTAGACTATAATTGTGCGTAAAATAATTTGAAAGTCATCAAGAACAGGTGTAATATGAATGGCATTGCCAATTATCAATGTATTTAACATCGAGGCTATTAATTTGTTTATTTTGTTCAAATTTTGATCTACCATAGGTAATGAACGTATTTTTTGGTGATATTTTTGATGAAGCAACACCGGTTGATCTTAATATTATCACTGTAATTAAATAAGGATACACCCGTCCCTTGTTTTCTGGTTTATGATAGATAGTATGATGAGGAGGCATCAAATAGATTTGAAATTTTTACCAAAGCTATCGAAAAAGAAAATCGACATTTTTTTTGCTTAAGACTTATCTAACATCGTTTTTTGGACTGGTTATGGAAGACTAGATTTTTCATTGTCGACCATTCTAAACACTTAATCTGATTGACCTGAAATTTTCACTATAGATATGATGTTTCTTTGTAAATTTGCAGATCATTGCTTTTCTTTTCGAGTTATAACAAATATACGGCAAGTTTCATGAAAACTGCGAGTTTTGCTTTTTAAAAAATTCTTGCAGTATGTGAACATGATCCTCAACATGAATTGAAACATTCACAACCGACTGATTTTGATCATGTTGAAACATTAGCTCAGAAATCTGTTCATATATTTATAAAATACATGGCTTTTGTCAACGGTAGCATATCTTTGTGCAGAGTACATGTATAGAAACGTTTCAATACATATATAAAATATCCACAATAAAATGAAAAAAAAGAAAAAAAAGTTAGCAAATACTCGTTTACATCGCAGATTACAATGTCTGATTATAATCACAGAAGAAGATTTCAAGTTTTCTTGCATATACTTTTTTATTAATTTTTTAATCTACGCTGATAAAGTTTTGGATTAAAAATGAAAAAAATGTTTACAGTAATTCGTTATTTTATATTTTTTTCTTCTTCATCAAAATAATGAACACATTCTTTCAATTCGTTTAGATTTCCGTCTAACAAACGATTAACATGTTCAATCCACAACAATGGTGCACATAATTCTTTTTCAAGCAATGTTCGAAACATCATGTAATCTTGTTGACGATGATCATGCCATTTTTGAGTTTTTTCATAATCGTTTATTACTGGTCGTGAATAACACACAAATTTTCCAGCTAATTTAGCCATTAATGATGCTGTTGTCAATTTTTTATTATTTTTTCTATCCGCATATTTTGCATAATAACGCTGAAATGCATTTGTTTCTACAATTTCCATTGGTTGAGATTTATTTTGTACTAGTTGTTTTGATTCATATAGTTTAAAAACATGTTTTTCAATTTTATGACATTGATCAATTTGAGTCCAAATGGTATCGAGATGAACATCAAAACATTCATTACAATAGTCTTTATTACAATGACCGCATCGATCAAACTTATGGAAATATAAATTGGAAATACTATCACAGTCGATCATTGAACACTGCAAAGTCGACGACATTTTTGTGTGGTAATTTCTAAAAGAAGAAAAAAATTGATACTAAAAAATGACTCACATTAAAACATGCATTAACTCATGGAAGAAAAGGATTATATACACTACAATTAAGTTCGACGTATTAAACTGTTTGAGTGTTTTGCTTTCTTTGCCAATTATTCATTTTTGTTCATAATTTTTTCCATTCTCACTTAAACTTTATTACATGTCCCATTAGAATTAAACATTGTCCGGAGAAAAAAAAATGAACATCGTTTCGTCTTTGAGAAAAAAGACATCGCGTAACTCTACTACTGCAGTGTAATTCCATCACGTTTTTTTTGCATTTTTTTTCTTCTATAATTCTCGAATGGGGACACCTTCAGAGAGCTACAACTTCTCATATCAAAGAGAAAAGTGCGCAGACGATTTTGAAACTTTGGCACACTCTACACGTTCTTTTTTTTAAGAACTATAGCAAAAATTCGCACTGCTACTTTTTCAGATAAGTTTTGAAATGGAGCAGTCTGCATTTTTTGCTGTATTTTCTAAACAAAAGAACGTGTAGAGTGTGCCAAAGTTTCAAAATCGTTTACACACTTTTCTCTTTGATACGAGAAGTTGCAGAGCTTTGAAGGTGTCCCCCATTCAAAAACTATAGAAGACACAAAATGCAAAGAAAAGTTTACAGACGGAATTACACTGCGATAGCAGAGTTACGTGATTAAGCCTCATACCAGTGAAAACAAAACTCATATTCGTATGTATGATGAAATAGAATCAATTTTAACATGAATATATGTGTTTGTTGTTTATTTACTTCACGGTGCTCCGCATTTAAAACAATTTATTGATTCATCAAATCAAAAAATTATGAACAATTCCTTGATTAGAACATATCAAAGATTATATCGAAATCGGAAATAATGATAAAAATATTTTATAGCATATTTAATGGAGTACGCATTTTCATCATTATCGTAACTGAATCATAATTCAATTTTGCCTTTTTTCTGTTGTTTGTTTTAAAATAAACTTTTAAAAGTATTTAAAATCTGTTTTTCTTATATTTTCTTATATTATAAAAACGGTTACTGAGCTTCTAATCCACAATGG